TGTGTAAGTGTGTGTATGTGTGTGGAGAGGGTGGGGTGGGGGGGGGCTGCCTATGAGAAAAACAGAACTTACTGTTTTTCTTCCAACTGATTCCATATGATAGACTGATTGCCTGCTCAGCCAAATAAGAGAAAAGAAGGACCACCAAACCATGGGAAATCCAAAAAGTAAAATGCACTAAACATAACCTTATGACCCTCGTGGCCTCCACTCGCAGATGGGAGCACATGCAGCTGAAAGATTGAAAGAAGAAGAAGAGAAAAAAAAGGAGAGAACTGACTTGGGCCAATTGTGCAAATTGCTTATCTTCAGATTTCAAGAGCCAATTATGGCTGGGCAAACAGTTTATATACACCACTGACTAAAACAAGCTTCTCTACACATTAATGGGCATTAATGGTTCTATCACCAAAAGCAAATGTAATGTTTAATACAACAACGACTAATAAAAAAAAGAAAAAAAAGACTAGACAATTAATATATCTCAGTGCTCTCTAGTCCTAGTGGGGGAAAAAGCTAATCTATTTGTTTTTGTCTTTATTAATGACTCCTCTACTGGAGAACAAAATCAAATAATTAAAGTCCTGCCCGGAGCACCAAAGTCATTATGTTCGCTGACGTTCTGTTTGTGTGTTTCACGTTTATGACACGATAGGTGTGGATCGCCTAGCAACCAGTTTCTTAATGAGGGGAGCAATTAAAGAGGTTGAGCCCTCGCCTCCATGTTCCCCCGCTCCCATGGGACCCCATGTGTTGTGTGTGCGTGTGTCTATGCATGTGTGCGTGCTTGTGTTCTTTACAGGTTACCCCAACCCATCCTTTTCTTCCTCTCTTCACCACACTCTTCAAAGCAGCAGAGTGACGCCCCGTAAAGCAAGAAAAGAAGCTATTGTCAACCGCCCAGTTGAACATGTCTTTGTCTAATAACTTTAATACACCTTCCCTCTGCTTAACAGTGTGCGCGCTCACAAGTTGAGATTTTTTTTTTTCCTCCCTCCGCGGCTCAGCTCCATAACAAACTAATTTAACATGCATCAACAACGATCACACGCTTTGTTTGAGTCACCTTTAACAAACAGAGATGTGACACGTGAGAAAAGGAAACCTGGTCATAAAATGTAATTCCAGCCATGTCCTCCATAGTGCTCTGACAACTAGCAGGCAGACAGACAGCATGCTTTAAATTAGCAACACATTCTTCCTCATGAGTTCACTGGGCGAGAAGCCTCAGATATGTGGCTGGCTGACTGACTGTGTGGCTGAAACAGAGAGGCATCATCCTTCCCATCAGCTCACACTGCACTTGTACCGACTGCCTCACATTGATCAAGAGGTGCTGCCCCCTATTGGCGCAGACACGGGATAGCCTTGTGGGTGACAGACTGAATCACACCATGTGACATTTTTGTTCACTTGTGTGTACTGTCACACAACAAGCATATTATGCATTCAGACACGAATGTCGCTTTGTGGCTGCCTGTCACTCAAACATGTATAGATTCAGCCTCAAAAGTGCATAAACATGCTCACAAATAGCCGAGTCTTTCACCCCCCACACATACAGACACACACGAACAGCAGAGCACCGACACACACAGACTCTGTCTCTCTCTTTCTCTCTCACACACACGTTCCTTAGCTCAGTTCCACCATTATAGAGCCCCAGACAATATAGGAGACTCAGCATAGAGCCTGCAGCGCCTGCCTCATTTGCATGCCAAGTGGCTGTAATGCTGTTAGGGTTTATGCAATAAAGACAAGTGAATCCAGACTGCTGGGCCTAAGAGGAAGAAAGAGAGTGAGAAAAGGAAGGGGGGAAAAGGATAGGAGGAAAGGAGAAAGAGAAGGAGAGAGTATGAGAGAGAGAGAGGTTAAGAGTGAGAGAGAGGCAGAGGGAGCGAGAGAGAGAGTCAAAGGGAACAGATGGCCCAGGGAGAGGTAAAAGGTATAATCCCATCAGCTGCACTATCAACCGACCATCTGGACATCCCACAGCACAATTACAACACATTTCAGCAGGCAGAACAAAGGACGGCTTCGCGGGGCCACATCAGACCTGTTTGAGTGTCACAATACTAGAGCTGGGACCTCCTCTGCTCAGATCTCGGATCAGTTTTGACGTCCTCTACGGCTAACCCTCGGTGGAGAGGAAAAAGATTAGGACGGATCACAGATCGGCTGCCTGGGGTCATTTTCACAGCAAAGTGGATCTTGAAATAAATTTAAGCACACAAACAAAATCAATAGGGTAACAATTCAGGACAACCCACCCCCCCCCAAAAAAAAACCAAACAAGCCATGACATATGAATTCAAATCGAGTGATTCTCCTCTACTGTAAACCAAAGTTTGCAAAGACTTAGTGATGCAACACGCAGACGGCAGGCCGGCTCTTTGCATCCTCATCCGTCCACTCCTCATGATGCCTATCATCTGCTGAGGGGGCATTGTGCGTGTCTGTCATCAGATCGCCTGCGCTGACTGTGTAATCCACTTCGCCACGGTCCCCATTCAGCACATGCTCCCCTCTCTGTCTGTGCATTGAGACATATGCAAATTTTTAGGCAGAAGGGTGGACGGCTTAGGGCCTCAGTCGCTGCCTCTCCATGGGTCCTTCTGTGTGTGGGAGGGGGCACTGGGATTTCCGAGGTGGTGCGTCTGTGTTTGTGTGCGTGTGTGCGTGATTGTGTATGCCTGTCGTAGGTTTCAGGCTGCAGCTGCCCCCCAGCAGCCACCGTCACCATCAGGCCCTCTTCTTGCCTCCTCCTCCTTCCTGCCCGCTCCTCCCCCCTCTCTCTCATCCCCAAAGTCAATTTGTTTACAGTAATTTTGAAGGGTGAATTATTTGCTGTAATCGTCCGCACTGATGAAGGTCAGGCCCTTAGAGGGGGCCCAGCATGCCCATAGAGGGTTGGTCCTCTTTCAGACGCTCCGCTTCGCAATTAAGGAAAGCAAATGTCACTCCTCCAGGCCTCACAAATGAAAATCTGTACGAGGTGATTAGCATGAAGTCAACAGCGCCTGTTAAAGTCAGATTCCCTGTAGTACCAATGTGTGTGTGTGCACTTTATGGGCAGGGAGAGAGAGCAAACATGACCTGAACAGACCCAACAGCAAGGCAAACAAAGGGAGATGTCTTGTCTGAGGTGATCCATACAACAATGGCCGACTGTGATTTACTTACTGGATGGAAAGGATAATAGAGGTTTAGAACTGAGCCTGTAAAGAAAAAAGGAACTTGGTGAAATAGTTGCTCACATTTTGAGTAGGAAAAACATGCACAATTCATAGTGTATTAAAAGATATTGATGGAAATAGATTAAATTTGATATTGCTATTTTATGGCTAGCTGTCATGCTATTTCTGTTGTAAACACGGTGTTGTGCTGAACACCATATTAAGGTAATGCATCAAATGACAGTGAATGTGAGGCACCAGATCACTCAAATTAGATTATAATAACAACCCAGACTGTTGATGAATGGCAGAGCTACGTAGCAGAAGTCATGCCAGATGAAAAGCATTGTAATAAACAATATGAAATGGATTGAATCGATCACAAAAAGAAAGAAAAAAACTCAATCTGAATAATTCATGAGTGCATTTCACGTTATGAAACCTGAAACTACACTCAGTGTGCCTGCTCTGTACTACATATGCAGAACAAAGGTAATGAAATAACATGAACCAGCAAAGCTTTAGCTTGTCATTTCCACTTTAACAGCCTGTATTCTTGACTCATTTAAGATGTGTTCAACTTTGAAATTTTACTGTACATGCGGGTGCATGCTTAATCAATTCTGATAGCTACATTTGCCCTGACACATAATTTGCTCCATCAAATCATTTTCCTGGCGAGCCCGGCGTTTAGCCTTTGTGAAGTGGACCATTTGAAGGGTCTGCTTAACTACACCACTCCAGCGCGCTGATAAATGATTTTGATTCTCATGCCTTAAAGGACAAATCCATCATTTTTTTTCCAGGGGCAATTTCCATGATATGTCTTTGTGAGAGAGACATGGAGGGCTGAGCGTAGAGGTGATGCAGTAATGTGTCTTTGTGGAAAGAGACATGGGCCCGAATGTTGAAGCTTAGGTGCTGAATTTGCTCTTCTCTTTGTCTTGGATAAGCAGCCACCCCGTGCATCAAGGCTATCAGCCCCAGTGAGGGATGGACCACTGGAGGTGCCACTGTCATCATCATAGGGGACAACTTCTTTGATGGCCTACAAGTCGTGTTCGGCACCATGCTCGTATGGAGTGAGGTATGATCTCTCTTATAGATTTGACTAAAATTCAGTTTAACTATTAGAAATTCAGCTACTTTTATTTTGAAAAATCTACTCAAAACTTTCTAGCCAGTAGTATTAACAGCACAGATTCTTTGCAGATGGCTCATTATTTATTTTCCTCTGTAATCCAGCTGATAACTCCTCACGCCATCCGCGTCCAGACTCCACCTCGGCACATCCCCGGTGTTGTGGAAGTCACGCTGTCCTACAAGTCCAAGCAGTTCTGCAAAGGTGCCCCTGGGAGATTTGTCTATACTGGTGAGTCAAAACCTTCTCTTCCTCACTCCCTCCCTTTCTCCAGGCTTCTCCTGTGCCCCCCTCCCTCTCCTCCTTCTGTCTGGATGGAGCCCTCAGCCCCAAGTCCAGGCGCTAGTAATGAACTAACCAGGGCCCTGCTTGCTGAATGTTAAAATGTGTGAGATCTGCACTGCTAGCGAAAAGGCTTTTTTTTCGTTGAGGGGCACCTACAAGTGCAACTTGATCCCCCTCTGACCTGCCATCATACAAGGGCGCTGCCAAGCTCTGTTAAACTCAAGCTGTCAGGATAACTCATTCTGCCAATTCTCTTTATCTGCCTTGTTGTGAGACAGATAATGCTTTCTGCTAATTTGCTGATTTTGTAAGGCAAAATGTGGTTTCATTTTTTTATGAATCAGATTAGAAACGCAATATCCAGGTTAAGTGCATGAGTGCGTCTGAAGTTATTCTCATGTGTGTTCCATATGAATTCATTGGAGAGAAAGTGTGCAAAGAGACGAGAGAGGTGTGTATGTGAGAGAGAAAAGGGTGTGCGTGTCACACTATAAGTAAGGGATCTGATTATCTTGGCTAACAGAAGGAAGTGGTGGTCTTATCTGTCATCATTGGCGAGGAGACAGAGGTTGTGGGGGTCAGAGCCTGTCTGACCTGGAAGCCTCTGTCTGTTCTAACTCTGATGGGCAGAGTGAAACAGGGGCACGTCAAAGCACTCTCACTTCCCCCAGCACCCCCAGGCCTCCAGCACAGCCCTGGCCTTGAGCACAGCAGAATTGCAAAGTGGGGCCTGGACCCCCCCTCCTCCCCTCCCCTCCGAAACCCCCATCCAGACCCCTCCATCCTGGGGCAGCTGTTTCTCATCAAGTCCCCCCCTCTCTCTCGCTCCCCAAACCACCACCACTACCACCCCCAGCCATCCGTCCCCTTCTCCTCCAACCGTGCAGTCTGGCCCAGCTCTCCTGCATTTAACCTCCCTAGCAGGAGCGGAGCAGAGGCCAACAAGGCACCAGGATAATGAAACAGGAGTGTAGTGTGGCTGCGTAAGTGTATGTGTGTCTGTTTGTGTGAGAGTGTGAGAGCAAGCGAGAGGGAGGAAATGTGTGTGCGCCAGTGTGTGTCTGTGTGTACATGTGTTACTGCACAGCCCTGAGAAGGTGTATAAGTTAAGACATTAATGGCTTCTATAGCACCCTGGTGAAAGTGCCAGGTCCCTTAAGAACAGACCCCATTAGTCACAGAGGCTAAGCGGATTGGGATGATTACCATCAGGTTTTACTGGGGAAACGTGTCCCCTTCTCTCTATCTTTGTTGATTTCTCTCCCCCCATTCTTCCTCTCTGTCTTCCCTGGGTTCTTACTCACTTCCAGTTAGTATAAAGATACAATTACCCCTGGAGGCAATGGTGGTACAATTGATTAGTGCGCTGAATTAAAAGAGAAAGTCACCAATAGACAGGTCCGGCTCCTCTGCTCTGCTATTCCCTATGTGGCTCACCCTGATTGTACAAGGGTTGACGCTTGAGAGAATGAACCCGTTAAAGAGAGCAGAATGCATAACGCTAGAATGAGGTATCACTGACTCCATATGTACAGTAATTGCTAGGTGAAAGGATGTTAGCTACTTCTCTGAGACATTAAAAAGCGAATGGGCTGATGCATCGAGTGCAAGAGAGTGGATCATGTATTTAAGAGTGAAACAGCTCATTTCAAACCATAGCTTTTCTTTCTGTATTACAGCACTTGAAAAAATGGTACTACACGAGGAAATAGGTTTGAAATGACCTGGAGTTACAATAGCAAATTGCATGACCTGAAAAGGGCATGTAGTGACACAGTGCTGTCTGAAAGGCACAAAATGTTCGGTTGTCATTTTGGAGAGCAACATGTGCATATCAAAGGTCCAGTTATCAAAGCATATGGCTTCAAACATGACTTGAGAGCACGGCTTGAGAGGAGTGCCTTTTTTTTTCATGTTGACTCTTCTTGCACCACCACCCTAATTGTGGAGATTTAACTCGCTCAATTTAAGAAATTATCACAAATTACCAAGAGTCAACACAGAGGAGACTGCAGCCAATTCGAACAGCAGAGGGACACGTCCTCACTCGGGTTAGTACCCTGGAACTGCTCCAAAACTCACAATCCATTTTCAGAAAGAGAGCACCCTGTAGTGTATGTCAAATAATCCTGTTGGCATTGACTATTGAATGTTTAAAACACTAATGAGACAAACAGACATACTATATAAAACTTTAGTAGGCTGTAGTTTACAGACTGCTTCGAGGAGCTTTTATCTGTACTTTAATTGGCACATTTTTAAAGGAATGACATGCTGGCTATTTCTACTATTTTACAGTCTATACCTTTTACCTTCTAACAAAATGTGTCCCTTAGAGCTTACAAGCTTGTCCTCTGTCTAATCCATGTATTGGTTATCCATTGGTCCAACTGTCAGCAAGGTTGTAGAAAATCAAAAGGAGAGAGTCCTGGCTGTGCCTGAGGTCAATACTTTATTATACTTTCCATTTTATTAAGTACTGCAAACAGTACATTCTGGTTTGATCAGATATTTCTTGAACAAAAAGTCTCAATTTTCAGCCTCATTTGCAGCATCTTAACCTTCTTACTGCATAGTTACAGCACTGTATGAAAGAGTAAATCATAAATAAAAACTTTGACCGTACAATTTATCCAATTTAAGCTCCTAATTGCATCAGAGCTTTTGGTTTTCTATCTTGGCCAAGTTTCCACGAGAGCTCCCCTCCAGGGGCAACGATGCAGGCCCTTGGTAATATGGTTCTGCAAGCAGTCCTAACACACTCAGCCACTATTTATCCTAATCAGTGACATCCACATAACCAGGATTGCTTAAAATGAACCCCTTCCGCGCCCCAGAAAACGCACATTTACCGGGACCCCATTTGTCATGGGTAAATTGAGGGTCAGTAAACTTCGCCTGTATCCTCCAGTGGGGATCCAGGACATGCATCATAACGTTAGGAGAGAATGATTGGCGAAGGCGAGCTGTCACACATTTGTCAGGGGGAAGGGAACATTATTTGCTAATTTCCCAAGCTGGGCACTGACAGGGTGCTTCGTCTTCAGACCTTTGGTGACCAGCATGGCTTCTCAGCTATTAGTACAAGTCAAGTGTTTTTTTCTTTTTTTTTCCTCACTGTAAAGCGGCAGTAATAAGAGCCATTCGTTCGACCTCACAAGATCGCAGCACACTGGGTGAAGGATTTTGGATGGAGTAGATGCCCCCATACAGTGAGCTGCTCTTGCCAGGCCTTAGTTGAGGCCAGACAGCCTTGAGGGCTGATGGATCACAAAGTTTCCTCGTCAAGGTGACGCTATCGACTCCACTGCACCAAAATCTGACAAAATGGGTATGAGGCAGTCATTCATCAACATAAGGACAAAGGGGTCATGTGTGCTTCACTCAATACTGGTGGAGATCAAGAAATGTCAGCCCTGTAAGGGATGGAAAAGGAAGATGTTCATAGTGCCGAAGTAAGGGTCTGTTTTTAGTTGAGATTCAACAACAATTTCTTACTTTATGAAAAAAAAAAAAAAAACTCTTTACATGCATGTGCAATAGATGTCCACCCAAACTAGTGCAGTGCAGCGAGTCAGACATATAAATAGTGATATCCAGTTGTCCAATCCAAAATTAAACTCACTTCCTGTTCCACTCTTAGAAAGAGGAACAGAATGTTATGTAGTTGCCGACCCTCCTCTCACAAGGAATTTAAATAAGCAAACACAGACGTCTTTATCAGACCACATGAGTGCTTGTGAATTGGGCCTATCCTTACGTCTCCTCCCCACCCTGCCGTCACTTTGAAGTCCCAGACTCAGAAGCTGATCAGATGGAGAGCTTCCTTTTCATTTCCTGTCCTGCAGGGTTGGGCTTGGAACTCCGTTGGTTGTTGGTCAGTGGTGGGGTGTGGCCTACAGCAAAGATATGCTATAATCAAAGGCATTCAAGGCGGTATGTAAACAGATCAGCTTTAGAGGAGGACACACCAAATACCTCATATAAGCATTGTATATTTAAAATCCCCAAATTTACTACACACGGCATGTCAGATTTGGGAACAATTTTTAATTTTTCCGCTGATTTAAAAAAAAATAAAAACCACCCTGCAGTATGAGCTGCTGCAAGTAAGGATGAAATAGGCATTTATAAATGTCATTGCCACAGTCAAGTGGGTTGTAACCAGTTGGCACAACAGTTTTAGCATGTGTCAAAGCATGTTATCCAGTAGCCATATCCCCATACCTGCCTGTCTCATTACAACTCTGGTATTTAGCACCAGCTCCACAGGAGTGGAGCAGACACTCGTTGCCAAGTTAGATGGGCCTGGTTTGAAGGCCTTGTGAGCTTGTGTGGAGCGCGACAAGGTTCCACGGAGGAAGGTCCTTGTGTCCAATTAGAGGGCTGACGTGACACGTGCTTGCACTCCCCCACTGTCAGGCAGCTTGTCAGGTAGGCTTTGAGAAGCACACTGTGGCATTATTCCACAGCGTGTTATCAGCAAGTGACCTGTGAAATCCAGCTCCGGGAAATTGATTGAAATAAGTACTTGCAGTTGAGCATGTATTTTCCCCCCATTACATCTCTCTGTGAAATGTATTGTGGGTATCTTTCAAGAGAAAAATGAAAGTATGGGTGTGTGTTTTTTCTCGCAGTAAGGATGGTATTCATTGATTTAATTTTAATTGGGCCCACTTTTTGTCTCACAGTATCGTTGTGAGGTCTGTTTTGTAATGGCTCTTAAAATGGATTGTCCTCACTAAGTCACAGCATCAGTCCTCTGCCACAGGAAAGATAGACGGAGGAGGCAGGGAGGGGGGCTCTTGATAGACGAGGATCTCTCCCCCTCCTCCTCCTTTTTCTACCTCCTCTTCTTGCCCCATTTTCAGTATGATCCACACCCAACGGGCTTTAAAAGAACTCCACCACCCCCTCCCTCTCCTTCCACTGCCGCATTTTGATTG